GGATGCCTTCAAACTGTCTCCAGAGGTCTAATGTATAACAGAAAACTTCCCTCTTATGCCTTCTCTTTCAATTATATCCATGCATGGGGGTTTTAGATAATATGTTTCACCAGGAAGGTAGCATCCATTGGTGCTTTAGAGAAGGTACTGGTGGTGCCTGTCCAGCATGGAACATTATGAAGACAGAATAAGTGCAGTGCTCTGACCAGGTATGAGACATGAACTCAACTGCTATTGGGTGGTGTATTTTTCTGAAATTTCCCAATGCAGTAAATCTGATATCCTCTCCAAGCACAAAGTCCTCAGTAATGGCAGGAATGTGCAAGACATTTTCCCTTCAGACAACCTCTATAAGCTTTTACATCTCAAGAGAGCATCTACCTGCATGTGAAACAGCTTTCCAGCAAAGTCACATCCTCAAATAACATCTGTTTTATGTGAAGAAGCTCTTTCATATGTGAGCTCTCATCTATACTACTGCATATTTGCAGACCTTCTCCATGCATTGTCTTGGCTTGCTCTTTTCGTTTGTTTAAATCCCTGACACAGAATGAATCCTCCATTAAATATCCATGGGATCAATGCCAAAAAACTCATCACGCAAACTCTATTCTGGATTTACCTGGCTTTTGTATGCAAGGGTACAGCTCTGATAAAGCAATAAGGCAAGTACAGGAAGTAGAATGAAAAAGGGACCTCTCAGCTTATCAGGTTCAATCCCTTTGAATAACAGGCAAGTACAAAACAAATGGCCTTTTCTAAACTTCCTAAGCTCTGTCCTAAATCTCATTAGGTTTCCACCCTAACTTGTGCTACTAAAATGCTATTCCAGCACCTCTTTCGCTGCTCTGTTGCTTAGAAACCTTCTGATTTCCAACCTAAATTCATTCATGGCCAATTTATATCTATTTATTCTTGTGCCACATTGTCCTTTAGCTTATGTAGCTCTCCTCACTCCCTAGCACTTACTTTCCCAACCCCCAATCCCTAAAAGTATTTATAGGCAGTAAATCTCTCCTCTCTTAACCTTTGTTCTGCCAGACTAAGTAACTAAGCTCTCTTATAGTATTCGCCCTGCAGGCACATCACACCGTGGTTTAATTACTTTGTGTAGTTGCACTAGCATGAAGTTCAGTGCAAAATAATTAATGCAGAAAAGCTCAAACTGGTACTATACTCCTGGCTGAAGCACACCCTTCATCCCTCTGATCACTGTGCTGCCTTTCTTTGCACCTGATCCAGGCTGAATATCCTTCCTGAATGTGGGTGAGCAGCGCTGCACACACTGTTCTGGAGGAGTCTCACATCCTCTTGGATGACATTAATCTCACTCACTGCAGCTAGAAATACTGCTATGACCTGAAATCTTGCTTGTCTTTTTCACCCCCAAGTAGCATTGCTGGTTCCTGCTCCTGTGGTGACCTTCACCCAGGACTTCCCCATCTCGGGAAAGATCTCTCTGCTAAAAGAGATTCCTGTTACTCTTCAAGCAACAAGTTCCTAGTGTGTGACTTTGCACTCTCCCATTTAACCTCACCTCGATCACTCCAGTCACAAAAAGACTTCAGCTCTTGCAGTGTTGGAATGCCCTCATGATACCTCTCAGCTTTGTTTCATCAGCAGATTTCATTAGCATTTCTAGTTACAGTGCCAAGGTAATTAACACAAATATTAAAAAAGATCAGTCCTAAGAGCAATCTTTAAGCAGCCACACAGATAATTTCCCTTCAGCCTATTAAGGAACTGGTGTATCAGTTCAGTTAGTCTCTTATTCACTTGAGGATTTCTTTAATAATCCCTGTCTTCCTCAGCTGAAGCTTCTCCACTAATTTGTTTCTTCTGGGACACCATATCATATGGCTTACGGAACTCCTGGTACATAAGGTCTGCCATGTTTCTTTTACCTAGGGGGTCAGGAGTCTTAATCCAAGAAAGTTATTTACCTTCGATCAAAAGATGGTACATATTGTCATATTTGCCCTTTACCTCCTGGGTTGATTTCTCCTTTCCTTCAAAATCTGTTCCCCAGCATCACAAACTGCTGAGATCTGCAAGCTGCACATGGCAAGCTGTCAGCTGTTCTCATTCCCACTGTCTGGGGGAGCATTCTCTTCCACTTGCTCTCCTCACTCAAGTCATACAAGTTTTGCCTAGCAGGCTCCTGGGGAGGGGAGGAAAAATCCTTCTTCCCAGCTTAACAATGGATGAAACAGCTATTTCTCTAGCTGAGAAGCTGGAAAAGCTGCCATTACACCTCTGTTTTCACTTGAAAAGGGTGCAATGGAGAAGGGATGACACATTGAGGGGCTGGCTGAGGTATCCATACAGCATCTCTACTCACCATTCTGTGTTTTGCCTTTCTGTCTGCCTTCAGCCATTTCCTTTCTGTGCATCAAAATCCAAATAGTTACCACCAGCACCAAAACAAAAAGAGCTCATTACATGCAACAACAACATGAAGGCCAGAGACCTTCTCTCCTTCCTCATTCATTCAGCAGAACTAGACCGTCTCTGCTGGATTCAGAGATGTCTCTGTATGCCATTCAGGAGCAATACTGGGACAGGAAGCACAGAAGAGTCAGCAGAGAGAATCAGACCTGATCACCCTAAGTGTACAGCAAAGTGTCAGCCATGGAGGGAGGGGAATGCATTTCAGACAGCTCTCTCACAGGACCTGTCTCTCTATAGCATGTGAGAAACACTTGACAAGTCTTATCCCTAGCCTATCCCAAAGCCATCTGTGAGCGAGACCTGTATTATTAACACCTTTTTTTGGACACTTCTCTGATGAAGTCCTTGACGATTTCACTGGCATAAAATCAACATGACTTTACACAATAATGCTTCCTGAAAATTACTCCAGGAAGACAAAAGAAGAGTGATATTCTCCTTCCCATGAAATTCCATCGCAGATATATAGCTGCCAGGCAGGAGAGAGAGAAATAACTCCAGAAACATTTCTATTTTCTTAAAAGTCACAGAAGGCCTTTCAGTTAGAAATGAAGCAGCAAATTACTGTGGGTTTCTCCATACCAGGAGGTTACTGAGCTGCTAGGGGAATTTACTGTGCGTTGTATGTCCTGCACCCTGCACTAACCATCAGTGAGGATTCAGCTGTCTTGGAAAGGAGCTGCACTTTAACTTCAGAGTTAGAGTGTCCACATAGGACATGCCTCCAGAGGTAGCCTCTGCACAGCACTGTCCCTGTGTATACTGGCTCTCAATCTTGTGACTAAAGGGGGTACTAAATTAGTGAAAGAACTATGATTAGATTAGAAGAGTTTCCAGCACCATGTTTTAGTCCCTGGACTGCTTTTGTTTCCTGACCTGCACTAGCTGAAACATAGAGATACCACTGGGCAGTTATACTCTGGGTGGGAAGGATTCCTGGAGGGACACCTGCCAAAGCTTGTGTGCAGCAAGCCAGTGCTCAGGGTAGTAGAGTCTTCTGTGCAAATACATTTTTCCAGATTAAGCTTGAAAGAGTGAGAAAAATGTCCTCCATTGATATCTTGCATGGAAAATGTTTCCCAGGGTCTGGCTGGTGTAACTGTGGGGCAACCGTGTCTCTTTTCATTTAGGGAAGGCTAAGACCATAGTATGTTATCTGTGGGAGGATGTGTGAAGGAACAGTAGTAGCAGCAACTGGAAGGGACTGTGCAAAGCCGGCAGTGAATGCATTCTGTCAGCATGGGGAGGGTGGCATGGGGAGAGGCTGAGAATGGAGAGGGAGGAATGAGATCCATAGACTTTAAAGGAAAAACAACAGGAAACCAGATTTGAAAATAGAAAGATTAAGCTGGAGGGGGTGGGAGAGACAAGAAAAGTAGGTGAAGAAAGAAGAGGGGGAAAGGCAGAGGCAGTGGGGAAGATAGAAAGTGACACAGAAAGGGGGTGGAGAAAAGAGAGGAAGAGAGAGAGAACCATATTAAAGGAATAAAACGAAGCAACTGAGAAGAACAAGGAGTCCAACACAACTACAAAAAGGAAAAGTCCTAAAGCAAGGAAAGGAGACTGAAGACAAGATACTGGAAATCAGGTAAGTAACCATGAGGGGGAAATAATAGAACTACAGAAGTGTCAATGGCAGATCAAGTTATTACCCTCAAGGGGAAAACAGCATGAGGAGAGAAAAGGATTTGGAGAGGCAGGAAAAGATAGATGTCCAAAAATAATCTACGAAATTTACTTTTTCTTTCATTTTCTCTTCAAAACATTCCCAGTAGTAAAAAGATAAGCTTGGGACATTTTAAAAATTAAGCTGGTTTTGCACAGGGAGCTACAGAAACAATGAGTACTTTCCCTGTGATGAACATGGATACCAATAGATTTTAATGTATGGGAAAGCAGGATAAGAGCCCCAAATATCCTCAGACAGTATAACATGCAAATTGCAGTTTCTGTCAGATCCCACTTCAGCATGCTGTCAAGCTGCTCAGGGGATAGTGGTGAAGGAAACTCTTACCTATGAGAGGCTCTCAGGGCATAAACACTTTATCAAGTGTCCGCATGAACCGCCTATATTCCGAAGCGCACAGGATGGTTTCAAAATGTGGCAGTTTCTTTTCCTTGAGAATACTGTGTCCTGGCTGGTCTGTGACATGGAGCCTGGGAACGTAACTCAAATGTAGAGAAGTGCCTTGCTCATATCTCCCAGTCACCCGTACTGCACGTGCCGCAGGGGAATGCCTTTCTTCTCCATCCCAACACTGCCCATGGCAGCCTCAGCAAAGAGGCACACAGACCTAAAGGGACAAATGTCCTCTCCCACACTAGCAGCTGCTGCTTCTTTTTGTTTGCCTTCCTAACTTTTTTCCCCTTTTTGTACTTGGAATACTTCTATTACTTTCCCATAATTTAATACTGCTAGGATTGCCACCACATGCTTCAAAGAACAGCCCAGCTCAAAAATACGGTATCCCTGTACATCCTCCTGGAAAGAAGCAAGGAGTGTAAAGGTTGCCTGTTAATTGCCACCTCTGATCTGTGGTGTCTCCTTTGTTTCCCTAAGGGGTCATTTGTCTACCCATTTGTCATATGTAATGAGCTTTTTGGCACTCTGGTTTTAACAACTCAGGTAAACTGAGGCAGTGTCTCTGAAGTACCATCAAAACCTTTAGAGGATCCTATATGCAGCTTTACTGGACAAACCTCAGCTTAAAAAAGGCTGAATGAGCCTTAAGCATGTAACTGTTCCTCCACGCTAATAAACCCATCAAATGGTGTGTGTAAGAGTTTTTCCCTACTGCTGCCTATGTGATCCTTTTTTTTAAACTAAAGAACTTAATGCATGTAACATATGCGTGTGTAGCTAGAGGCAGGTTAAACAGTTTTCCAGAAACCTCACAATATTCAGTATTTCTATCAGAAGCCAAAATATTCTGCATTTACCGGTATTTTCAAAATTTACTCTGAGAAGAAGACACACTTCTAACTTTCTTCTCCCTTTCCTTGGGAGCAGAACAGTAGTTTAGGAAAATTCCTAAGGCTTCAGGGTTTAAAATACTCATCAGGCTCCAGTCGCTTGGGAACTATGTTAAGTATTCCTGTTACTATAACTATTTGGGGTTGTTGTTTTTTTTCCAGTCAACGGTATATATTATCACAATATTTTAGTATCATGGGCTCTCACATTAATAATTTAAACCCTGAAAGAAAATACAGAACTTCATGCCTTAGTCTTTCTCCTCTTTTTGACCTTCAGACAGATTTCATACACTCTGCACATTTGCCCATTTTCTTGACTTATCTTGCAGCACTGAAAATAGATGAGAAGGAATGAGTAATTCAGCACTATACCATGTCATTAGGGAGCACATTTCGGAGACTGCTCCACACCTTGGGTGCTGTTGTACGAGCACAAGGATAGAGGCTCAAAATTAGAAATGGTTCCCAGGAGGCATCAGAGATACTTCAATCTTTGGGTTAAGAATTCATAAAGAGGGGGGGAATCTATTTTATTGCTATAGATACGCAACAGAGAGATCTCTATGAACAGTACTCAGCATGTCAGCTCTTTCCTGAAACAAAGCAAATTCATGCCACGCAATATGTCATGATCATAGAGGTGCATGAATCTAAGTCTCTCTAGTGTACCTTGAAAGAGAAGTCAGGGGTTTTAATGGGTGAACTAAGGTGTTTACACTTACATTTCCATCTCTCTTCATTTTTTTGTCACTATGGACATGCCTTGAGAATGGTTGAGAATTTCCATATGAAACTCTTCTCCCTTAGAAGCAGAAAAGCTGACAGATGCCTTGGTCAGGGCATAGGGTCGCTGGGGAAGTGAAGCAGTCTGGCAATGGTGACTGCTGCAGAGCTCCAGGGTCTTTGGCTGCATTCAGATGTCTGGTGAAAAAGCAAAGAAGTGGGGATAGGAGAAAAACTGTCTCCAGTTTATAATCAGATAAAGCTATCCAAGAGGACTGAGTTAATTCTTGCTTCTAACTCCAGTTTCCTCTATTATGAAGGGTCAAATCACTGAAGCCACATTTCCTCATAAATGTCCCCTCTGTGATGTCTCATCTTCCAGATATCTGACTTCTAGATGTTGTGCAACTGGTGGAAGTGATAAACTCTCCCACTCCAGCATAAACTAGACAGAGCTCTGCTTCGAATACACATTATATAGTGCTAAGTATACTTGGGGGGGGGGAGAGTAAAAAAAAAAACCACCAAAAAAATAAAAAAACAAACCAGATTAGTAGGGGAGAGTAAAAAAAAAAACCCACCAAAAAAATAAAAAACCAAACCAGATTAGCAAATCACCAAACAGCTTCCAAAATTAATGAACAGTTTTTATCTTAATCTCTCACTGCCTTAATTCCTCAGTTGTAAAGCCGATTTAATGCCATCTCCTCACCTCTGGGTGGTAATGAAAATAAGTAGATTAATAATCATGCAGCAATCAGATACTGTTGTGATGAAAGCCGTAGGAAAACCCACGAGGAAACTAATAATTCTGTCTTTAGAACTGGACTTGAATAACATACAGTAAATGAGGCACAGGCCACCCACTGAACAATGAGGAGAAAACAAAACACTGAATAGCTGCTGTTCTAGAAAGCCCCAGCCAGGCTGGCACAGAACAAGGCAGGCATCCTGTGCAAAGAATGAGGTGACAATGTGAGGATGTGGTTAAAGGCCCATGGCTATGAGGTACAGGCACAAAGAGATTGAATTAAGATTACTGAGAACAGTAACCCTAGCGTTTCCTAACTCCCTGCTACTGGGGTTTGCCAGTTTCATATTAGTTGTTTTCAAAGTGGGTGTGTTTGTGTGTGAATTTAGATATGCACCTACACTGAGTGTAAAAATTAGTTTGCTCACTAGTTACAGTCAGACTTCACCCTGAAAGTGACATTAAAAACTTGAGGCAAAGATACAGCAATGAGGCTGGAGTGTGAAAATCCTACAGATTTTTTGAAAGAAGGAAGAAATTAGATTTGACAAGGTAGTAATACGTGGAAATAGATAGTCACTGAAAATTTCCCCTTTCTAAGGCTTTCTAAGCATTAGCAATTTGGGTGCTGTAGAGAGATAAGTGGTCAAAACTGCCAAAAAACTGAGGCAAGGCTCTGCGGGGGGAGCCTGACTGTAGGAGAACAGTGTGGAACTGATAGCAGGGAGATGCTGGGGGAGAGGAAGGAAGAAAGGATGGGAAAAGTCTGAACGAGAGCTCTCTCCTTCTCTCACTGCCTCTTCAGTCTGGTTGATTTCAACACTATAACAAGTTGCATCTCATGCAGCCTATGAACCAGCCTAAAAGCACACGGGCAGGTTTTATTGCTGCTATATTGGGCCCAATGTGATGCCTGCCATTACTGCACGTCTCCTTTTACCAGCCTCCCCCACTGAATAAGCAGTGCTTGAGATCAGCTTCTCTCAGCAGAGCTCAGGAACAGCTTTACTACAGCAGCCGCCAAATTTCTCAGCACGTTTCTGTTTTCCAGAGCTCCCTATGCCCTGCTTGACTATACCCTCAACTATATTTAGCTCAATTTAGCCTGCCCAGTTTAACATCACCTACAAATTCATATAGGTCAGCTTCTCACTGCAAAGATAAAGATACTGGAAAGAGCACAAAGTTTGAAGTATTTACATCAGAGGGAGAATTTGTGAAATTCTTTTTCTAGCAAAAAGCACATGTGACCCTTCATTTACCTTATCCCATGTCCAGTTTTGTGAATCTGTTGGGCTCTCTGAGGACTCACATTTCTCCAAGGTGAAGAGAGAGAAACCCAAGAGAATTAGAGTGTGCTCTCTGCATTTTAAGTGTAAGCCTGGATACCACTACCATGTAATTATTTGATGCAGGCTTTTCAAAGATAGCAGGATAAGTTCATTCCTCAGCTTGACTCATCTGAGCTCAAGGTCTTCTTTGTTCTTGGTCTCCAGCAACTACATCAGGCAGAGTTTCACCCTAATATTTGGATATATGAAAGCACAGGGGGAAGAATAGCATTGGATGTCCTGGATAGACAACTAATAAAAATTCAACTAACTGGGAGTCTGCACCATCACTTCAGATGAAAATATTCTACATATTACTATCATCTATGTGTGTAACACATCCCTGATGTACACACTTGAAGGTGTTGAGTGATTTCCCTCTGTCTGTGTCTCTGTGTGCGTCAGGGTTGTGTGTGTGTGTGTGTTCAGGAGGTGACAGGTCATGCAACTCCCTTATCTTCTCACCCACTCTCTTTTTTGTGAACTCTGAGGTTTTCCACATTTGGAGGGGAGGGGTAAAGCACACCTCATCAAGGAATAACAAGCTGTCTGCAGCTACAAGTAGGACCAGTGGTCTGGTTACCCCTCCAGAAGTTGCAATGAACTTGGGAGGAGCAGAAAGATAAGAAACATTGGATTCCTCTCTTATAGGACAGGAGCTGTTAACACAGAGCTCTGCCTCTCCTGTGAGATTTGAGCACTGGAGTCAAAGTCACTCTCCCTGTACTGGTTCAGCACAGGACTTTGAACCCGAGGAACTAGAAAGGAACCTATGCAAGCTCATCAATTTTTTTCTTTAAAAAGCAT